AGGGGATGTTATGTAGATGGGTGGGAATAGGCAAATGAGACATTATTAGCTTATCTACCATCATTAGCTGCTATAATGGGGCATTATTAACTATCTATCATTCCACAAGGAAGTTGGCCAATGTCAACTTTCTGCAAGAGGATTGGCTAGTCTCACCACTTAATTGAGCAAGCCAGAGTTAGAGGCATACAGGTTCTCCAGTCTCATTGAAGAGACAAGAGAATGCAAGACACCCTTCTTGCTCCAGCTACACCCATGGCAGCAACATCCGCCTCAGCTACTCTAATGGCTGAACAGGAGACTTGATGTGAGATGGGAGCTTTGGTGCGGAGAGACAATATTGGCAGGACTGGAAACTTTGCTGGACAATTTGGGGCAAGGGAAGCCAATATTGGCAGGACCGAGAATTCAGGAACACCAACGTGCGAGGCTCTAGGCTGAGGTGCCTGCATGCATATTTCTGGAGCTGTCTTGACTGTATTTTATTATTCATCTAGATTATTACCTTCTGGTTTCTCCAGTACGGTTCTGGTTGGTTTGTGAATGATCACATTAGATTTTGGACCTAGCAAAGCAGTGAGATTGGTGTTGAGATGAGGAGAAAGAGGTTGGGGAATGTGGGGGAAATGTCTGACCTTGTGGGAAGTGGTTTTGCATTGTTGGTACTGTTGACATGGACAGTGCCCCTTTGTGAAGTTGGTAGAAGTCAGATATGGCCGTCCTCACACTGCCCTTGCTCTTTTTACCGTTACCTTTTTAAAATTATTTCTTTATGTTAAACTTATATATAAAAGAACTCACACTTTTGTTAAATGATCCAGTGTGATTACTCAGTACATGGATTATCTGTTAGATGCTGGTAAATTGGTTCTGATTCATTGTAACCCTAATTATAACAGATTAAGCAACAGATATGTGACAGGTTAAAATACTGCCCAGTCCTGCACCTTCTGCAGAATTGCCACTGTGCTTGAGCCCTTTGCAGAAGCCACTGTACCAAACCATCTCACTGAGGGTCTTTGTCTTTGCTGACCTTTAATCAGGCATGTTGTCTTTCTCCAGGAACCAGCTCTCCTTCTGATAACACACTCGAAGTACATGAAATGAAGTCTCACCTTCCTCACCTGTAAAGAGCACTCAGGTCCCTAAACTCTGTTTCTTCTCCTTTTTTGCCTTCTTGCCTGCTCTTTGGTCCTTTGAAAGTATCTTAGAACCATCCTGAAATAAGAGAGATCAGTTAGTAATTTTTTACTTTCTTTTTAAGATTTTCTTGGGTTTTATAGAAGTCTGGTGGAGAGAAAGTTGAAAACAGCCCAGTTAACGAAGAGCTCATTGTATGGGCCAAAAAACTGGCCTGTCACATTTTAAAGGCACTAAACCCTTCCAAGGAAATTACCTGTCATCTGGTTTCAGAACTGCCTTGGCAGACTCCTGGTGGATGCTGACACTTTTAATTTTTCCTGAGAGCTATTAAAATTGTAGAACTTTTGGAACAGCATTCCCGCATCACCTTGATGGGCCAAGTGATTGAATAGAATGTGTGATAAGGATCTTTGGTGTATGATGAAGCAGCAGGGAAAATCCTGACTTGGCAATTTGTAAAATGATTTTAGATCAAGTGTCAGAGCCTCTTGTCGTCCAGACACCTGTAAGGAATTCTCTCAGAACAGGAAGGTCTCTTTGTACCAGAAAATAAAATATTGTATTCATCCTGAAGCCCTTTTAATAGGTAGTGCATCACCTCCTACCAGTAGCAGTTGCTATAGTTGATCCTGATTCATAGTGACCCCTTTTGTTCATCATAGGGTTTTCAAGGAAACAGAGTGGCTGCCATAACACTTCAGGCAGTTGGGTTCAAACTGCCCATCTTTGTGTTCATAGTCAAGTGCTTAATTATTTGTGCCCATTACCTCCTAAAATCCATCCACTGCTATAGATTCTGACTTGACTCTTCCTTGAGCTACCAGGGCTAGGAATCTTTATGTGATGAGACTGCCTATTTTTCTCCCAACGAGCGGTTGGTGGAGTCGAACCTTCATCCTTTGGTTAGCAGCCCAATACGTAACACACCACATGGTCTGAACAAATACGATACCCTTTAGGTAACTTTAAGAATGATTGCTGCTTGTTCTGTGTGCCAGAAAGACACTAATAACATCTTTCCTCTTTTCTGGGAAAAAGTTATTAACACAAAAAAACAACAGGGAAATGTAATTCACCTAGTGTGAGTTCAAAAGAAAATGAATTATCTTGGCAGTTGCAATCCTGAATGCCTGGGATATAGGTTACTTACTTGAGAAGTCAAATTTTTTAGGCATCCACAACTTTCAATACATGGATTTTCAAATTCTTAAGCTAGCTAAAGCATGATGGCTATTTTTAGGGGAAACATTATTTGTGAGATAATGGGGTGCTTCATCCATACTTAATATGACTTAGGCAGCTGGTGCCTTTACACTTACAGTACTCTCTGAGGAAATCAGTTGATTTCTCTTGTAGATCAGGATTTTAGCTGACCTTTGTCGTTTGATTAACCAGAATGGACTAACTTAGGGTGCCAGCATCTCTTACTGTGCTCTCTTCCTTATGACTGCTAGATGTGATCAGGTAGATGCCAGTGAATTGCTTATTCTGATAAATGCTAATCAGAGCCAGGGTTCTGATTTTAAATTCAAATGTGCTATTAACGTCTCTAACATTGTACGCTTTTGATGGTCTCATTTACATGATTTTTAAAATATGCATTTCTGACTACAATTTTATTATCTGAGTGTTCTTTTATGTGTTATGAATTTTTTGAAGAGGATTTTTAAAAGGTGTGAAAAGATGACCATTCTTTTTGCAACAAGAGACACTGTGGTTGAACTCCATGTGATCTAAGTGGGTTGTTGTTGTTGTTATGTGCCATTGAGTTGCTTGCGACCCATAGAAACCCTATGTACAACAGTTCTGAACCCTGCCCTACCCTAAGACAGTCTCTTTGACTCTGACACACCTACCGTATTACTCCAGTCATGCTGTCAGTCCATCTCATCCAGGGGGTTTCTCTCCTGCGCTGTCCCTCTACCCTTCCAAGCATGATTGTCCTTCTCTAAGGACTGGTCCTTTCTGGCCGTGTGCCAAAGTATGTGAGATTGATCCTCACAGTGCTTGCCTTCATGGAGCAGCTTGGTTTTACTCTCTCTAGGGGAGACTTGTTTGTCCTCTTCTCCAGCACCACAGCTCAAAGGCTTTGATTTTCTTTTTATCATCCTTCATCATTGTCCAGCTCTTTAATGCATGGCAAGTAATTATGAAGACTATGGCTTGGATCATGCCCATTAAGATAGTACAGCAGAGAGTTAAACCACTTGCATCAAAATGCCTGAGTTCAGATCCTTTCTCCTGCACTCTACATGTAATGTAACTAATTGTACAGAAATGATTTAATCCTACCATGTTTTAGAAGATGCAATTAGAAAGGCACATGTGTCAATCCATTTTGCTAGGTTATGTTTCAATAACAAATGTATCTAAAATGTGAGTGACTTACATATATATATTCATTTTTCATTCCTATCTGTGTCCATTATGATTTGATGTTGGATCCAATCCATATTCTCTTTATTTTGGGACCAAACTAAAAAGTATTCCCTGTTGGGGACATGCAGTCTCATAATAAATGGGAATGGTAATGACAGAACTTTATAATGACTTTTGTACCTTCTGAATGGAAGCTTCTGTGTCACTTCCGTTTGTATTTAAATGATCAGAGTGAAATCTGATGGTTCTGGTGTCAGTGGGATGGGCAGTCTCCTATTACATGCAATTCACGTTGGCCCAAATATGGTCAACACTCAATAATTACTGTTGTTGTTGTTGTTATGTGCCATTAAGTCGCTGTCAACTCACAGCGACCTTTGTACAACAGCCGTGAACCCTGCTCTATCCCTTGTCAATCTCATGGTCTTTGACATGCCTATCCCGATTACCCCAGTGACGGAATCAATCCATCTCATCGAAGGTCTTCCTCTCCTGTGCTGTCCCTCCACCCTCCCAAGCAGGAAGTTCCTCTCTAAGGACTGGTCCCTCCTTGCAAAATGTCCAAAATATGTCAGACGATGCTTCAGAATCCTTGCCTCCAAGGAGCAGCCTGGCTTCACCCTCTCCAAAACAAACTTGTTTAGTTACTGTTGGGTGCATTAGGGCAATTCCAACTCCTATGGATCCCTTGTGACAGAGTAGAATGGCTCTATAGGGTTTTCTTGATTGTGTTGCTGTTGTGTGCCGTCGAGTTGACTGTGACTCATAGCAGCCCTGTGAATAACAGACCTGAGCCTTCCATATTCCGTGCCCTCCTTACCGTCTCCGATACACTTGAGCCCACTGTTACAGTCACAGTATTAATCCATCTTGTTGAGAGTTTAACTGTTATTCTGGCCCTCCACCTTTCCAACTGGGATGTTTTCCTCCAATGACTGGCTCCTCCTTACCACACGCCAGAAATATGTAAGATGAAGTTTCACCATCCTTGCTTCCAAGGATGCACTCTGGTTGTACGTTCCCATGACAGTTCACGGAATATTCAGTACTCTACTCCAACACCACAACTCAGAGGTTTTGGTGCTTCCTCTGTCATTATTAGTCGTTGTTCACCTTTCAGTTGTGTAGCAAGACTGTGGCTTGTGTCAGGCACACCTTAGTCTCTAAACTAATATCCTTGCTCTTCAGCACTTTCTTGGCTGTAAAAAGACCTTTTCCCCATCTTTAAAAATTTGGAAGCAGGTGGCACATCTATTGAGAGATTGAGCTGCTGACCTTTGGATTATTCTATGGTTATGCCCCCAGGACTCCTTCAATAAACACTAATGGGTGCTTTTATATCTAGTTTAAAGGTTAAATTACCATTTGGCTTTTGTCTTCACCTCTATTAGGACATAGAAAAGCATTGTTTAAGTCTTTGTTGGATGGTTCTCTTAAGTGCAAACTAAGGTGTTGAATGCTTCTTTTGAACTTTGCAGGGAGGGTGGTCTATGGAGAGCCCATAGCAGCAAGCCTCGGCACAGATGGCACCCACTATTGGCATAAGGAATGGCACCATGCAGCCCACCATGTCATGGGCCCACCCCTGCGGCCAGACCCTTCAACTCCGGATTTCCTCATGAATCTGTTGGCTAAGTAAATATTTTGCAGACAATTGGGAAATGTCAAAAGCCAATTCTTTAGGAGTCTCAATTAAGGAGATCTTGCCCAGCCATCTTGAACTTTCATTGTCTTCCCAGGATTCCCCTCTGCTTGCAGCCTCATCCTCTAGGGACCAGACATATATTGGTTTATTCATGCTGTGCCGCCAAACCTCTCCTGCACACAGAGAAATCAACCTCTTTTGCTCTGAAATGTTACTCTCTTCTGCTTTTTTTTCTTCTCTTTGCAAATTGCTTTTTAAACCAGAATCAAGCCTCTTCCTTATGCCTTATTTAAATCAGAATACACTTGCAATTTTGGTCTGTACTGGTGTAACCTGGAGCCAGATACAGCTATTGTGTAGGAAGATCTTTACCTCCTGAGATGCTGACAGTTTTTCCTGAGAATCCTGCCATTCATGGACATCCTGATGCCCGTCTTTTACAGATACTTACATTCGGGTTTTAATGTAGTGCTTTCACTACAGACTATATGAGCGTTAGCTTACCTCTCCTTGCCGCTTCCTTCCATCTTCACTTCTACCTCTCCAAGGCTCTTCACAAGTCAGAGCAGGAGTGGTGTCCCTGGAGACAGCAACATCCTCAGCCAAGCTCCTATCTCTCTTTCTCACAGCATTGTCTCTTAGCTAGAGACCGTCCTGGGAACCGGCCTTCTCCACATGTGAATCACGCGGTAATATTTTTGTGTAGTCTTCTGCTCACAAGGACCCTGCATACATATCATTGCTGGTGATCTTGAAGTAACCTTTATCAAGCAAATAAAATTAGCAGTTATAAGATGGTGAGTCATACATAAATAAACTTATGATCACAGAACAAGTAACGGATGGCGTTTGGCTGAGAACTTGAGCTATTCTGAATCTTCTCTAAGAGTAGTTCTTTAGCAAAGAAAGAAAACAGGTCCCTGGATGAAGATAAGAATGGGATAAAAATATAAAGCTGCTTGTTCTACATTCCATATATCTGCCTTGTAGTTGAGGAATGGAGCTGGAAGGCTGGCACACGTTACTGACGTGTCCTCTCACCTATTTGTCCCTGTCACAGTCTTATACGGGCCTCTCTCTTTACAGTGACGATCTGACCACCACAGGGACTGACCACTGTACCTTCAACACCTGCCAGAAAGCTCTGGGGAAAGACGACTTTACCAAGATCCCCAATGGGGTAAATGGAGTTGAGGACCGGATGTCAGTAATATGGGAAAAAGGCGTGGTAAGTTCCATAGGATTCAGCCCATTTTGTTTCATTCTTCAGCCAGAGGCTGACCTATTTTGTCACCAGAGTAGCATTGAAAACGTTCATACAAGCAAAACAAAGACAACCCATTGCCAGCTAGTTGGCTCTGACTCATAGCGACCACACATGCTACCGAGTAGAGCTACTCCAGCAGGTTTTCTTCACTGCCAGGACTTTTCTCTGCAGCTCCATTTAATAGATGTATACCACCAGGCTTTAGGCTGGCAGTGCAGTGCAAGCTATCGGAACCACCCAGAGACCCTCAAATCCTTATAGAGAAGTACCGTTGTTATTATCATTAGGGAGTGTTGCTGTTGTCATGTGCTGTCGAGTCACTTGCGACTCATAGCGACCCTATGTACAAGAGCCCTAAACCCTGCCCTAATCCCATGCTAACCTCATTGTCTCTGGAAAACCTACTCCCACTACCCCAATCCATCTCATCGAGGGTCTTCCTCTTTTGCACTGTCCCTCCACTCTCCCAAACATGATGCCCCTCTCCAAGGACCAGTCCCTCCATGCAACATGCCCAAAGTATGTCAAACGAACCTTCAGAATCCTTGCCTCCAAGGAGGAGCCTAGCTTCACCCTCTCCAGGACACACTTGTTTGTTCTCCTAGCAGTCCATGGTATATTTAATACTCATCTCAGGCATCACAGCTTAAAGACATCAGTTCTTTTTCTATCATCCCTAGTCACTGTCCAGCTCTCCGATGCATAGCACGCAATTGCATAGACTATATCCCAGATGAGGCACACCTTATTCTCCAGCCTGACATCGTTGCTCTTCAGCACTCTGGAGAGGTCCCTGACAGCTGACTTTCCCAATGCAATTTGTCTCTTGATTTCCTGGCCGCTGGTACCAAGAGTGTTGACTGTGGAGCCAAGCAAACTAAAAATGAATTTTAACACAAACACGGATTCTGTTTTCCCCTAGGATGGTATCAGCAAAGAAATAATTTTCTCCTTCAAATAGTTTTATAGGAAGCACTGCAGCATGTTGCAGAGACGTTAGAGTGTGAATATTAACTGGTCTAGAATGGGCTCTTTTTCCAGACTGAAATCGACAGCACTTCTGCCTGATTTCTCATGCTCTTGAATCCTGTAGACTCATGTCACTGGAAAGACACTTGAAATGGTATAAAGTACTTGAAGAATTTTGAAACTGTTAAAGGTATCCTTTTTAAGAACTCTTGGATTTCTTATATCAAAAATTGCTGGATAAGGTCACATCAGTAGTAACTCAAGATTTGTTAAAATTTCCATGATTCAAGTTCTCCTCCCTGGTGATGGAGAAGAGACAAACAGCAAATGTCATGCTAGTTCATCCAGCCACTTTTAATTGTGTGTTTGTAAAGATCAACAGAGAAGACTATACCACCAGACCTTTTTCTACTGTTTGTCCCCAAATTCTCCCTTTGTGGGCACATCAATCCTGTCTCAGAGCACAGAATCCCATTTGGGTACTTTTCTTCTACACATACCACCTACCCTAACTCTACTTAATTTCATTTCTAAAATATCTCTTTATTTCCATCTTCCTTATGAGTACTCTAAGTGAGGCCTGTATCTTGGCTCAGCTATTTCTTTGTAGTAGTCTCATAACTGGTAGCCCTGCATCCAGGCTCTCCCTGCTGCTCTCCTTTCTATACTGTGGTACCAGAATGACCTTTCAAGCATGATACTCAGTTAGTGTAAAGTTCTTTTCTCAAAACCTTTCCTTTTAAACATTATTTGTAGTATAGTTATCGAATAACAAGTATACAAATAAGGATTTTAAAAACAAACTTTCTAGCCCTCTCTTCTGCTAACATCCTCTTCAACCTCCCTCTTCATCCATCCCAACGCTGTCTCTCAGACAATTTCTTTTCCTAGGAACAGTTCAACCATCTCTTTGAACTTGTGTTGTTGTAATAAATATCTTCATTATTGCTCATCATAAACTATTATATTTCCCAAGTGTATAAGCGGTTTCTAAGTGATTGAATATTTTTTTAATAGCTTGCAGAGAACTCAGTTGCTTTTTAAAACATTAAGAAGGTTTACTTATGGTAATATTCCTTTTCAGGCAATGGCTCTTAATTGTTCTTAGGACAGAAAACCTTTGATAATTGACTAAGCCTTAAGGTTCTTAGCATATTGGTATATATATATATATATATTTACACTTTCAATCCTTTAGTATTTTAAAGGGGTCACATCCTTTCAAAGCCTGTCCACATGAAAATCTTCCGCAAAAGACTGTCCATCATTGTCCTTTTGGTAAATTTATGTTGCACAACAATCAAACTTCTTAAACAGTTTTTCCCCTCTTATTTCTAAAAAAAAAATGCCGTCACCTGCTTTAAAGGTCAATTTCATGTTAGTGCTATTTAAATATTCTATTTAGCACCTACATAATTATCTCATAAATCTTAGGTCTGTAACTAATAAGCCAGATCATAAATTTAGTGGCTGGCAATGGTAAGACTGACTTACTTTTTTTTCCTTTTAATTGTGATTTGAACGAAAGCTTACAAAGCAAATTGGTTTTCCATTCAACCCTTCAGATCTATTTTCTTCTATGACATTAGTTATAATATCCAAAATGCAATAGTGCTCTTTCCATGTCCTCTCTCTGATTTTCATTTCAATTAATCCTTTCTTTTTTAACCCTCCTTGTCTTCTGAGATGTCCCTGGGCCAATGCTGCCCTTTCTATCTGTATTGCTGATTATTCTAAGGCATGCATGCCTCACTGGTGTTTCTAGTGACCTTACAGGTCTAGCTATCATTTGATTGAAAGTTGAGCCACAAAAGTAATAGTAAAATTGAAATGAGCTTTGAAAACAGTTTTCAACATTCAGCTGCCACCCTTTGCCATCTCTTGTGATTCTGGGAAGGATGGCGGAAATCAGTAGGGGTGCGTTTTCAAGCTGACAGGTCTTTGAAAATTCATCCTCAGGCTTCCATATGCTACCATATCATCATCATCATCACCATCACCATCATCATTTTGACTGTTTAATACTGATCAGCTGTTTGCTTCTAAAAGATATAAGTCTTGTACTTTTCTTGACAGGAGGATTTTTAAAAAAGAAATATTTGATCATTAGAGTAAAATGCATCTTTTTCCTGCTTTGTGTTATGTCTTGAACTGAGTCTCTTCACAATATGTGCTGTAAATCCTAATCTCTATGCCTGTAGTTAGAATGGATCTGTTTTGTTAATGAGGCAGGGTAAGTGTGGGGCATTGCGGTACAATGAGAGTAAACGAGCAGAGGTAAAGATAGACACCATAGTGCACAAAGATCACCAAAGGATCAAGAAATAGGGACTTGGATCCAAAGCCTTCCCCTAGAGCCAGTGCCCTGGCTGCATAGACTGTGAGCTAATACATTTTTATTTGTTAAAACCATCCACTTGGTGATATTTCTGTTCTGGAGCACCAGATAACGAAGATAAATTGTTTTACAGCACAGTGGTAAAATGGATGAAAACCGATTTGTGGCAGTTACCAGCACAAATGCAGCTAAAATCTTTAATCTCTATCCAAGAAAAGGAAGAATAGCTGTAGGATCGGATGCTGACATTGTGATTTGGGACCCAAAAGCCACAAGGTAAGATTGAGTCCTGTCTTCTGTGCCTTCAACGTGGAGAAAACAATGTCCCAACTTGCAGTGAGGTTATGCGTTGCCCTTAATCAGCCATTTCCTTTTAGAGAGTTTGATTAGTGGTGCTCAGATGTGTTTGAGCCTGTGCACAAGAACAAGGTTTGAATGCACAAAAATATTTCTTTGTTTGTCTTGGCACAGAGGATTCAAAAGTTGGGTTGCTTACTATTCCTTGTAAATTGATATGTATACAAAACCAATATGAATTTACCACTTCGGTGCTTGGCAAATGCCCAGATTTACTTGGGGAAAAGGTGCAGTGAAGAAAAGGAAGGGTTTAGTTTGGAAGAGGCTGAATTGAAAACTTGAAATAATTATAGCCTTTTTCAAAAAGCTTTCAGAGAGAAAAATTCCAGCACAAAAGATGTCACTTTGAGTTAGCCAAATTTTCCAGTTGAGTTCATCTTGAGCCTTTCGTTCCCAGCAGACTCCAGCTTTTTGTTTCCAATTTCCATAATTCTATGTTAATATTGCAGGTCTGGCAAATTCCACCAACTCAGGAAGGCATTCAAGAGAGGCTGAAGTTCTGCTAATTTCTCTTTATAGGATGTTAGCAATAGCTTGTATCCAGATTTTTTGTGTATTCTATAAACTTTGCAACTGCAATGGCTCATGTTCCATGTAATTTAAAATTTATGTGTGTGTATAAACATAATACTATATGATCTCCTGTTTTTATTGTCCAGACATTTACTGAAGGTCTATTAGGTGCCTCTGGAAACTCTATGAACTTTGATAAATGTCAATAGTTGTAGAGGGCCTTCAGGGCTTTTGTTCATAGGGTCGCTATGAGTCATGCTTGACTTGAAGGCAGTCAACAACAATAACAACAACATTAGGTGTTTTATGGAAATATATTTTCGGGGAACTTGGTGGCACAGTGATTAAAAGCTCAGCAGCTTGAACCCACCATCTGCTCTGCAGGAGGAGGGTGAGACAGTCTGCTGCTGTTAACTATCCACAGCCTCGGAAACCCTGAGGGGCAGCTCTCTTCTGTCATATAGAGTCTCTGTGAGCCAGAATAAATTCATGGTCAAAGCTTTGCTTTTTTTCTGTTTGTTTTGTATTGCCACTGTGGGGATGTTATGGTCATACTTTAAATTGTAGTTCTCCTGGGATTTCCCTTGGGAAGAGAAGGCTGAGAAACTGCCAAGAATTTCTTTAAAGCACCAAAGAGCAAAGATACTACTTTACAGACTAAGGTGTGCCTGATTCAAGTCATGGTATTTTTAAGTTGTTTCATATGCCTGTGCAAATTGGACTGTAAATAAGGGAGACCTGTAAAGAATTGCACTGTGGCCTTGGCAAAAAACATTGTGTATATTGTTTTATGCTAAAATAGCCAACACATCTGTATTGGGAGCAGTGCAGCTAGAATATTCTGTAGAAGCAAGGATAGTGAGACTTTGTCTTGCATACTATGGGCATGTTACCAGGAGGGACCAAGCCCTGAAGAAGAGCATCAGGCTTGGAAAGTGAAGATCATCAAATACGAAGAAGACCTGCAAGGAGTTAGATTAATACCAGGCAGGGAACAGGGAGTGACAGACAGCTGATATTTTGAGGATGGCACAGAATCAAGCAGGGTCACTATGAATTACGTACATAGAATCACTGTGAATTGTTGGGGTGTGAAGAGTTAGTGTTCAAAATGGCATTCCTAGACTTTGACTTTGACTTTGTCTTGTGGATGGGCGGAATATGTGAATAGGGCATTTTAGCCAACCCACAAGGGGATTGGCCGGTCTCACCATTAAATTGAGCAGATCCAGCAGCAGAAAGGAAGAGTCTCATCCTCGGCAAAGGAGAAGCAGGCATTATGTGGCACCTGTAACTATCAGAGATTCTTGTGCATCAGATCAGGGCCTTTGGGAGCATCAGAATCAGAAACCTGATGTGCGATGGAGCTGACCTTGGGACTGCTATAGCATTGATTGAGCTAAGAGCCTTTTGCCCAAGTTTGTTGGAGGACTGAGGGTAGAGAAGAGCCATAATTGATAGGACTAAAAACTGTAACATTGGCCTAAAGCCACAAGGCTCGAGTCTGAGGTGCCTGCAGGTACATTTTGGAAGCTGTCCTGATTATTAACTTGAATTCTAGACTTTGATTTTCCCAGTGTGGTCTGTGTGATCTGTGAGCTAGTGCATTAGATTTTGGACCCAGTGTTGGGATGAGTAAAAAGAGATGTGGGAGCATGGGGGCCATATCTGACCTCATGGGAATTGGTTTTGTGTTGTTGATGTTGTTGACGAGGACAGTTCCCATTTGTGAGTTTGGTAAGGCCAGATATGGCCAGCCAGATGTGGCCCTTGCTCTTTTTACAGTTATATACATAGGGGTATTATGAGTTGAAACCTAAAAATAACATCAACCACAGGCTACCAACATTGATGCTAAAAGCGTGCTTCAGATGCTCTCCCAGGCCATAGTTGTCTTTTTGTGGTTGATACCCATCTCTGAAACCAAGTTGCTCCTCGGAGGCAAGGATATTGAAGCTCTGTTTCACATACTTTGGGCATGTTTCCAGGAGGGACCCGTCCTTGGAGAAGGACCTCACACTTGGAATGGTGGAAGAACAGTGCAGGAGAGAAAGACCCTGGATGAGACGGGACAACACAGTAACTGGATATAATAAGGGTAGGTGTGTTGGAGACAGTGAGATTGGCTCAGGATAGAAAAGGATTCAGAGCTATTGTGCATAGGGTCGCTATGAGTCACAGGTGACTCCGTGGTACATAACAATAACCCTCCTCTGGGCACACATTATTCCAACCTAGGGGCCAGTTCACACAGCTGCCTGGTCCTGATCATGACAGATAGCCTTTAGCGAGCACTTCAGGCTTCTCACTTCATTGCCAGTTTACAATCCATGCAATGCAGTGGTGGTATGACTATACTATTTACATAAACATCCTGAGATACCAAGTAGATATAACCCAGAGCCTCTCTTACTGTATTAACCAGGAACTATTGCCCATCCGGGTCCTAAATGTCTGCTTGTCAAACGGGCTATGTCACTTCTTTCCACCTTGACTCCACCATCTCTGCATGAGAAAGGAAGCCCAGTGAAATTAAGTGTGGGCAGCTTCTTGGCGTGGTGAGAAAAAAAGTGTGCCTGGGAAGACAGTGGAAAACATTGCTTGGATTTGGTGTGTCTCTGAATGAATTTAGCCTCCTCTGTTTGCAAAGCTCCTGGTATTTGATACAGCACTCTGCAGTGAACTGTTGTATACCCGGCGGGGGCTACCCAATGTCACCTCTCCTGAAGCTCAAACAATGAACTAACTGATTTAAGTGCTGGGACCAGAGAGGCTTTTGAAATGACTTGTGACTTATGGAGATAATGAGCCTATGTAAGGAAATATAGAGATGTTTAAAAGCCAGAAAACTACCATATGGAAAAAGTATTTGTGAAAAATGATTCTTAAAAAAACAGCAACAAAAAGCATAGCATCTGGGAAAACCACAGTAATGATAATAATAGTAATTACTTGGTATTTGCATTTTACACAGCTCTTAGTGGTATTTAAAACTGCTTAGTTTCTAAAATGTGATCTACAAGATAAGACAAATATTGTCACCTTATGACAATGAGAAAACTAAAACACAACAATTTAAAGTGACAAGTTAAGTAAAAATGTCCTGAGACAGCATGTCTTTGCATCTTCCTACGCCTTCGTAAGGGATCTGGTGGTGTGAACCACGGAGGGTTGCATTGCTGACTCTAGGGGTGGGCTTCTCTGGCAACCTGAGTCTACCAGCAACTCCACAGGAGAAAGATGGGAGATTTTCCAATGGGATTCATAGTGGTGGAAACCTGCTGGAGACTCAGCTGTGAGGCACAGACAACCCAATAGCCGTGACTCAAATTCACCAGCAACTCAGAGCCAGAAAGATAGGCAATCTCCCCTCAGACTGTTTAACAGTCTGAAGAACCCAGTGAAGGATCAGCTAGCTGTAAGTGGATTCTGACTTGCTGGTGACGATGATGATGTTAAGGAGTTTTGGTGACAGAGCGTATTGCGTGATGGACTGCTAATCAGCCAAAGCAACCAGCTCCTCTAGGGAAGAAAGATGGGCAGTATTCTCAGGTAAAGATTTACAACCTCAAAAACCTGACGGAAGGTTGCTATGAGAGGGAATGAGTTAGAAGAGAGGAGTGAGGTCTGCTTTTCATAAGATTCTGCACCAGGAGAGCTCCTTGGGGTCAAAGCAGAACCCCTCTCTTTAGACTTGATTGTGACTGGTCCATTTTATCAGTCATTTGGTCTTCTCACCAAGCAGGCTAGTAGCTAAGCATTTTTTTTTATCTTGTCTGTGAGTCAGTTCTCTCATATTCCCTATCAAAGATGAGGGAGAAATGAAGGTGGTGCTGGGGTGACGTGGTGATCTGGTCTGAATGCACAGAGCCCAGGGAGGTGATGCTCTTCCCTGGGTACCTCCCAGCATTGCCCAGCCATCAGAGGCTCCTCGGGTGTTTTAATTTCTGAGTGTGACATCAGCTCAGGTCTAAAGCATTGTCTTGCTTAGACAGCTGGACAAAGAGAAGTGACCTGAACCTAAGGTTGTGAATAATTCCCTTACTTTATTTACCACATATTGATGCTTGCAGGATATTTATAGGCTGTGATTATGGCTCTTTGAGTCATGTTTTTAGAGTGTGTAAATTTAGGCTACTCCAGTTCTCACAAGTTTTAACTCCCGATTTCTCTAACATTGTTCTGTACTTCTTTGCTCTTCAGCTGTTTGAGAATCAAACATCATGACGCAGAGGTATAGTTTTGTTTTCTTTAAAAAAAAACACAAAACCCCTATATATTACCTGCTTAATTTCCCTCATTTCTAGTCTAAGAATAACTAACTGAAGGTCAAACTAAAAAGCTCCTGCACTATTAAATCTCTCTTTTCTTAAGATTTTTAACATTTCTTATGTATGAACCATCCT